CAATAAACTAAAACTGCTAGGAGGAATCACCCAAGACCTAATCAGAATTATCTCAAAAAGCTTAAGAGCAGCTACTAAAAGCAGTTGCTTAAGGTAGAAAGAGTTAAGGGACACAATCAAATTCTAGCTGTGGTGAATATATATTTTGACTTATCAGAAACTTATTCTTGTGACAAAGAACTACATTTCCCCAAGTAATTACACCATAGATAAACAACAGTTTGAAAATCATTAAATCTCCAAAATTGCCTTGACATAAATGTCCCTTAGAAGTGTAGGTAACTTTTTTACTATAACTGTGTAACAAATTAATAAATAAATTTCCATACTAATGATTGAACAACAAACATGCTAGTGCATATTAAACCATTTTACTGTGTAGAAAAGTGATGACCTACCAATGTCTTTTGCGATCTTCACAGCTTCCTCAGCAGTCTGACAGAGAGGGGTTTATGATTACTGATGTTAAAAACACAGTGGCCCTGAGGTGCAATATTGAAATTGTTTTCATCCATTACAATAATAAACAGACACTGGTCACCTGAAAAACAAAACCATACCTCAAACTTAAAAAGCTCATCTGTAAAAATGAAACCATTACTCAAGAAAAGGTTTGCATGAAAAAGAAAAACCATGCTTCAAATTTTCAAAGCCACCTGAAAAAAAAAAAGCATTATAGCTTAAAAGGTTAACCTGAAAAGAAAGCAAGAAACAAGTCATATTAAAAATGGGAATGCTGTGCCACTGCTTTTAGAATACGGTCACCTGAAAAAAAGAAAAACATGCCTCAAATTTGAAAGCCTGGAATCTAATGTGGCTAACGCTAAAAAGAGATGTTAGTGCTGCAATGGATAAAGGAACCCAGGGCCACATGGAACTGCAGCAGATCCTTTTTGTGGTCAAGCATTACAGTGGTTCAGTCCTACAATCATTATGGAAAAAGGACAGACTTTGTGCCAACACTGTTGGGCATGTGGCAAGAAGGAATAATTTAAGCCCAGCACAATTGCAGGATGTTAGAACTGGTGTATGCTTTCAACCACACTTCAGTGGTCATTTCTTGTTCAGCATGATGTACAACATAATCACAACTCCGTTTGCCATAAGGGGAAATAACATCTCATGCACAGTGCAGCATTGATGTCACATATCAGCAAAACAGCACTCCCATTTTTAATTTGAGATAGTGTTTTTTCCCCCCAGATGTCTGCATTAATTTTTCTAATGTACAATGTAACTTCAATAATTGCAACTCAGGACTGCTGTAAAATTCTTTACCGACAACTATGCACTAATTGTCTCTTCTACAACTACACTTGCAGATCTACTTGTGCGTACAGTACTGCAACTCACGACATGAATGAAGAGCTGCTGTGCTCTAAGTCTATTGCAGCTGGTGATGCAACATGGAAGATACCTGCTTGTCACTACACTGCCAGGGAGAACTGTCTTGATGGTTTCAAATATGAAGCAGTTACATGTCTTGATTAAACTAACACTGGGTAGTACTGATTGACTGGCTCACTCAGGCTGTGGATGAAATAGACTATTGAAATCTATCTATCCCCAGTTGAGGTCAACAGCTGCCCTCCCCCACTGTAAACAGTTTCAGCAGGGCACTGCTTCCCCCTCCTGAGGCGCCGGACGGTTTGCCAGAATCTCTTCGAGGCCGACCGATAGTCCTTCTCCATGGCCTCACCGAACTCTTCCCAGACCCGAGTTTTTGCCTCCGCAACCGCCTGGGCTGCAGCCCGCTTGGCCTGCCGGTACCCGTCAGCTGTCTCAGGAGTCCCACGAGCCAACCAGGCTCGAAAGGACTCCTTCTTCAGCTTGACAGCATCCCTTACTTCCGGTGTCCACCACCGGGTTCGGGGATTGCCACCACGACAGGCACCGGAGACCTTACAGCCACAGCTCTGAATGGCCGCATCGACAATGGAGGTGGAGAATACGGTCCACTCGGACTCGATATCTCCAACCTCCCCCGGGATCTGGTCAAAGCTCTGCCGGAGGCGGGATATTAAGATCTCTCTGACAGGGGATTCTGCTAAACGTTCCCAACAGACCCTCACAATACGTTGGGGTCTGCCGAGTCTGTCCAGCTTCCTCCCCCGCCATCGGATCCAGCTCACCACCAGGTGGTGATCAGTTGACAGCCCCGCCCCTCTCTTCACCCGAGTGTCCAAGACATACGGCCGGAGGTCAGATGAAACAACCACAAAGTCGATCATCGACCTCCGGCCTAGGGTGTCCTGGTGCCATGTGCACTGATGGACACCCTTATGCTTGAACATGGTGTTCATTATGGACAAACTGTGACTAGCACAGAAGTCCAATAACAAAACACCACTCGAGTTCAGATCGGGGGGGGCCATTCCTCCCAATCACGCCCCTCTAGGCGTCACTGTCGCTGCCCACGTGGGCGTTGAAGTCCCCCAGTAAAACAACAGAGTCCCCAGTCGGGAGGCTTTTCCAGCACCCCTCCGAGGGACTCCAAGAAGGCCGGGTACTCCACACTGCCATTCGGCCCGTAGGCACAAATGGCAGTGAGAGACCTATCCCC